TATTTTTCAAAAAATTAGATCTTGAAGACCTTCTCTGTTCATCTTATGAAATACCAATATTTCAATCTTTAATGTTTAAGACAATTCTGGCAACTATGAAAATTTTACGAAATACGCAAGTTGTGGATAAGTAGGTGGAGCTGCCGTCAATGCCTAGCGGGTGCATTATTATCGGTAGATATGGAACATGCAACCGAACTTGGGCAAACTACAGGGAAACCAAACAGAGAAAAATAGAGTACAGCGCGTAGTACCTCATCTTATAACCGTTTTGAAAGGCCATAATGTGACTATCGAAAATTTGTTTACCTCTTTCGAGCTTGGCTATAAACTTCCTGAAAAAAAATTAACAATAGTAGGGAAAAATACGTAAGAACTATCTTATTATTCCCGCAAAACTTTTGGAATGCAAAAAGCTTCCCGTTTATACATCGAATCTCGCTTTCACGCAAAATAATACTAAGGTTGCAGACAGAGTGGAAGCGAAGTCGAAGACGAAAAACAGTGAAGTAGTAAACATATGAAAGTAATTACAGTGCAAGCAAAAACGAATATGAAGACGTTGCCAGCCTAATCTCTTTTTCTCGGCCCTTGCCCCAAGTGCTGCCGGCTAGCGATTTGACGACTTGGTTGCAACTCTATACTTAATTGGCAATTACGGTTGCGTGTGCCGAGAACAAGTGGGCAGGCTACAATGCTACCAAATGTTTCCAGTAAAGAAGTACAACATCATGCTCAGCAAGCAGTAGAGTGCTAAGCACGTGGTCACTCAAATAGGCACATGCTTGACGCGGAGTCTGCACCCAGGAATATCAGAAGATATCTCTACGAAATCAAGAACGAGGGCCAATAATACGTACAACAACTTGTAGCCAACTCATTTTTGAGAAATAAAGAATAAACAAGTAAGAAAGTCTAAGTTCGGGCGGAGCCGAACATTAAATACCCGGCGCAAGTACTAAATATATGTTTTTTCACCTTGCCGAAACCTACCGCAGATGGTAAGCAGGGGTGTATCAATTTTGAGTAAATTAGCGTCCTTCAATTTCGAAATATTGAAGTTTCAAGCATTTCTGAAATTTACCGTTATATGAAAAGCGGCCGTCATTTTGGTGCGATTTCAATAATTTTCAACGTTTTGCTTTTATTTGCCAAGCACAATAAAAATACCGAGTTTGATACAAATTGGTAGAACGGTTACCGATATACATATATGTGATCATAAGTGGGCGGTGCCACGCCCATTTTCCAAAATTTTATCATAAACGTATTTCTTGGTAAAGAATTGTTGCAAGCATCAATTTTGAATAAATTAGCTTCAATCTTTACTGATTTATCGAAGATTTTGTATTTCTCTAAATTACCGTTATATGGGATGTGGGCGTGGTTATTGTCCGATTTTAAAAAGTTTCGGCGGTTTAGTATGCTGTACCAAGGCCAACAACTTTGCCAAGTTTGGAAGAAATTTGTGCTGCGATTACCAAGATATACACATGTAACCATAAGTGGGCGTGGCTACGCCCATTTCCCAAAAAATTAAAATATTCTTATTTTTCGTTTGAAAATTATTGTAAATATCAATTTTGAGTGAATTATCTTCAGTAGTTACTAAAATATCGCAGTTTTCGTATTTCTGGAAATTACCGTTATATGGGAAGAGGGCGTGGTTATTGTCCGATTTTTAAGATTTTCGGCCACTTAGTATGCTGTATCATGGCCAACAACTGTGCCAAGTTTGGAAGACATTGGGGCGTGGTTACGCCCATTTTCCAAAAATTTATAATATTCTTATTTTTCGTCTAAAAATTATTGTAAATATCAATTTTGAGTGAATTATCTTCAGTAGTTACTAAAATATCGCAGTTTTCGTATTTCTGGAAATTACCGTTATATGGGAAGTGGGCGTGGTTAAAGTCCGATTTCGCCCATTTTCAATACCAACCTACCTTGGATTAAGGGAAACCTACATACCAAATTTCGTTGAGATATCTCAATTTTTGCTCGAGTTATCGTGTACACGGACGGACGGACAGACGGACAGACGGACGGACAGACAGACATGGCTTAATCGATTTCTTTTTTCATCCTGATCATTTATGTATACATTTGTCTATATCTATCTCGATTCGTTTTGGCTGTTACAAACAACCGTTATGTGAACAAAATTAATATACCCTTGTGCACAAGTGCGCTCGGGTATAAAAATGTACATATAAAATTTACATACATACAGCGGTCGAAAAAAATTTAGTCGCACCAAACCAAGGTACATTGAACAGGTAGTATCAGTAGAGCAGCTGATTTGATTTATTTTCAAATTATTTGGTCTCGAAAATGTCAAATATTTTTAATTTTTTCTCACAAAAATTCTGAATTGTTAAAATCCATTTGCATGTGAAACCTTTTTCCATACAAAACAAGCGATTGAATAGCAGCTTTTGGAACGTTCGCCCAACTCGGCAGCACGACCGCTGATTACTGGGCCTTGCAAAGGATGGATCAATGCTTCGAGAAGCAAACAAATTTACTAGGAAAGAAAGTTGCATCAATTTTTATTTTTTATAATTTTTATAAAAGTTTTGAATATGCAGTTTGTATTTCACATGGCACGCTTTGATTTAGAAGAAAAAATTCAGAACAGTTTTTGACACTTTCGATACCAGAAGCAACAACAAAATACACGCAAATGTTGTTTTTGCTCTACTGATACTACCTGTTTAATGTGCCTTGCACCAAACTTTGACAAGTTTTTTTTGATATGTAACTCAAAACTTTTATAAAAATATAGTTCACTCTTTAACAAAAACCATTTAAATGCAAGTTTCAAACTTTGCGCAATATTAAAAAATTCAACAAACTATCATAAAAGTGTCGAGCTTTTTAATTAGATTTTCTAGAAAAGTTTTGAATATGCAGATTTGTAGCACACTCAATTCTAGTATAAAAAAGTGCAAGTTTCAAGCACCTAAAAATTTTTGTTTAAAAATGTTTTTTGATGAATGTGTTGCGGTTTTCTTTCATAAAAATAAATTGTATTTATTCGCAATAAGAAAGCAAATGCAAAAGGAAAATTCTAAGAAATGAAGGATGATTTTTAGCCAATTGAAACTTTATTATACTAAAATTGAACTAGCTACAAAAGTGACGGGTGAGACATTTCAACTTAAGTTTTTTTTTTTTTTAATCATTGGCTGCGTTTCTTTATACATTCCGGATAATTCCATTTCACAGCCGGAATAAACAGAATGCGTTTGAAATATACGTTAACATAACATTATAAAGAATAAGTAAAAACAAAAAGTTTATTCCAAGCGTTCAGAATGAATAAAGAAATGCAGCCATTATGAAATTAGTGAAGCAAAAAGAAAATTGTTTACACCTAATTCCTCACAAAAATAAGTGCATGCCCCGCTTCCTCATGTAAACTGAAATTCCCCACAAAAAACGATCCATTCCCCGATTCTCCACGCAAACTCTAATTCCCCGCAAATCGGGTAACTCCCCACGAGTTGGCTTCCCTGTACAACAACCACTGCAACCGACACTGTTCAGACTGGCAATCAACGGCATTCACAGGGAGACTGTCCTGTAAAAAGGTGTTCGCACGAGTCGATTTTGCGTATAACTCCCGCAGGGTTGCACGAAACAAAAGTTGAATGGCTAAATGTTGGCTGGCGACCAACTTTGTTGAAAGCGATTAGTTGAAAGGCCGTTCAACCAAAAGTAGAATGCAAAGTTGAACAACGTCTTTTTATGGCGAATATTTTGATATTTTTAGCCATTCAATTTTTTTTCGTGCAATCCTGCGTGAGTTGAACGCAAAAGTTGCCTGAAAAATCGCCTCATACGAAAACCCTATGAATGCCTTCAAAAGAGTCCGGTCACAAAGCGTGGACGAAAGTGAGCTATAACTGCCGAGAGACCCGCGTAACTCCGGCTCAATTGCGGTCTGGATATTTTAGTAGTCTAAACTCTTACTTATTCAGACTGGCAGATCCGACATGTCTAGGGAGTCTTCCCCCCACAACACCAACAACCTATTAACACTGAATCGAGAGTGTAACACCACGGGAGAGCTGCAAATTCTTGCTAGTGAAATTTCTACTAGCAGAAGAAGAAGAAGAATAAGTGTCAAAAGCCGCCATTTGTTGAATTGGTTTAGCACAAACAAAAGTAAAATGAGTAGAAATCAAAATATTAATGATGTACTGGACTGTGTAAGTGCGTGTGTGCAAAGCAAAGCGTTTAAAAATGATTTATAAATAGTAAAATGTTTTCAGCAGAATATCAAAACAGTGCAACAGCTGTTCACTTGCAAGTTTTTGCTAGTTTTGTGTTCATTAACTTTTTCTGCTATTTTCTGTTCTTCTCAATTTTACGCTCTATTTTGCTTTTACGCTCTCGCTGCAATGTTTTACTGGAGAAGTTACTATACAAACCTATTGTTCATGAGGTCTTAAACTGAATTTAAAAAAATCCTCTTAGCTCTTAGCCTCTTTTTATTTATGCTAAACTGAATATTTGCATTACTATTTTGTACATTTACTTTTCCCGCCGAACGCCATCGGTAGTTTGCTGGTCAATAATAAATGTATTGCGGTAATTTTTGCGTACCTAGTTCAATTTAGTTATTTATGTACATATGTTTTGACAAAACTAAACTCTTCCAGCAAACTTGCGACATGTAGTTACATACGTACATACATACATATATACATAGATAAGTGTTGCAGAAAATTACAACTATCTTCCACCGAAGTACATGTTTACTATTTTTTGTTTGTACCTCGATCTATGTAAACCATATTTTTTGGCTCGATTTATTAAATAATATTCATTTAACACAATTGAATGGAATGAATGATTTGCATCACAAAACAAACTTTTAATATACNCATGTAGTTACATACGTACATACATACATATATACATAGATAAGTGTTGCAGAAAATTACAACTATCTTCCACCGAAGTACATGTTTACTATTTTTTGTTTGTACCTCGATCTATGTAAACCATATTTTTTGGCTCGATTTATTAAACAATATTCATTTAACACAATTGAATGGAATGAATGATTTGCATCACAAAACAAACTTTTAATATAAAAGTAATATGAGAGACGAACAAATTTTATGAATGACTTGTCACTATGGACTGACGTGTACTTGTTTTGTTTCCTCACGTATAGATGGCGCTTTTTAAGTTTCAACGTCAAAGTTTAATCAATTTTTTTGGACGGATTTGGCTGATAGCGAATTAAGTTTAACGGTATTTTAACGCTTTTGAGATGGAGAATTCGGAAAAATAGCATCGTTGGACTATAAATTACCTTGACCTTTATAATGACCTTCAAACGAGAAAGTTTTCTATATGACAAGCTTTTACTTGCTGTGTATGTATGTATGTTTGTTAGGGGCAAATCTTGCAATCAACTTTTGACCAACTTCCCGAAGACCTAGAGACTTGAAACTTCACAGTAGCTCCAGAACCCGATGACAATGCAATAGGAAAGATAAGTTAATCCGATAGGTGGCGCAAGAGTCGAGATATTTGAAAAAAACGTATTTAAAGTCTGATTGGGTTCATATTTATAACGTATATTAACTACATGAAAAGAGTAACTCCACTAAAAATGTTTCCGATAGGTGGCGCACTAATAGATATATTTGGTAAACCCGTATTTATGGTNATGAAAAGAGTAACTCCACTAAAAATGTTTCCGATAGGTGGCGCACTAATCGATATATTTGGTAAACCCGTATTTATGGTCCGATTTCGTTCGTATTTAGATCGCTTACTTTAAAAATATTTTTTTTTTACTATTAAGTTATTTCCTTCTATTTTCGATATTAAGGCAATATGAAATTGGCTTTTTTAGTGCACTAGCAGACCCGGCGAACTTCGTCCCGCCCAAAATTTTTATATAT